AACGGTGCTACTAGGAAGGGCCAAAACATCCTTAGCAACTTTACTAAGAGTTGGATATTGAGCACAATTTCCTTTCCACCAATCCAAAAGATTGAAACCCTCATATGTTAGGCTTTGATGTGGATCATTGAAATACATATCCACTTCATTGGCTATCTCATTTTGTTGTGCCTCCGCTCTCTTTCGTTGGATCTTCTTTGTCATCCTTGAAGCAACATCAATATCTACAATCACACCCCCCACATCATCTAGTACAACACTTGATCTTTGCTCCACATTTGAGGTAGCACTACTACTAGTACTACTAGTACTACTACTACTAAGGACCACTCCCTCCTTGTATGCATTATACAACTCGGTTACATAGCCTTTAACCCTTACTTTCTCCTCCCTTATTTTGTCCCATCCATAGCCGAGCTCTTCTAAATTTGTCTCCAACATATCAAATTTGTACCTAGGGTCGAGTACTTGGGCTACAAAGAGAATAGGATTCACCTTTTCAATGTGACCCCAATATTTGTCAAACTTGAGCTTCATTGAGGTAGCCACACTTTGCAAAGTGGCATTAGAGGCGTTTAAAATTTGTTCTTGTATCTCCACTTGCAAGGCAATCACTGTGCTAAGTATTAAGTGTGACGTTGGAGTAAGGGTTGCACTCAATGTCAAGGTGGCATCATAAAACTTTTTAAGAAAGTGAGCAAAACTCATCGACCTTTCCCAATCATCCACCTCCGGAGGACCCACCCGCTTGGTCTTTCTTGTCACCCCATCAACCTCTTTCGAGACCTCCTCTTTAAAGTAAGCAATAAAAGAGTCACACTCAAAGGCCATCTTAGAGAACACTTCTTTAAACTTGAAAGCACTATTAAGCATCTCATATGTGGCATTCCACCTTGTGACAACATCAAAAGGGATACTTGACATCCTATCAAATCTCAACAAGACACAATATTCCCTAAAAGACTCCAACCTTGCCGGGGATGAGTGTATAAACTTCACACAATTTCTTATGGCATCAATTTCACAACTAAGCTCCGTCATTCCATCCTTAACTATCAAATTGAGGATGTGACAAGCGCACCTCATGTGCAAGTGAGCCCCGTCAAGTAAAAGAGTACCATTTGACTTGAGTCTTCTTTTCATGTATGCAATGGCGGTGTCATTTGCACTAGCATTGTCAACGGTAATGCTAAACACCTTGTCAATGCCCCAATCATTCAAGCAAACCTCTAGACATCTTCCAATATCATCACCCTTATGAGAAGTAACTTGGACAAAGTTTAGGATCCTCTTATGCAACCCCCAATTAGTGTCCAAAAAATGGGCCGTGATGACCATGTAGTTTATCATTTGAATTGAGGTCCAAGTGTCGGTTGTAATGCTCACTCTCAACCCCTCAATCACACTTTTTATTTTAGCCTTCTCTTCAACATACAACTCCAAAACCGCCGCCGCCACCTTATGCCTATTAGGAAGTTTGTATTTTGGATTCAAATCACGAATAAAATCTCGAAAGTCTTCTTGATCAACCACCCTAAAAGGCATCTCCGCTATTATAATCCACCTCACACATCTCCTATCAAGTCTTTTTTGATTGAAAGTGTGAGTGACAACCGGACCTCCCATCCTCGCTTGTGTCAATGTAGGTTGCTTCGGATCCACATTCTCAAAGAGACTAGAACCCGGGCATTTCCTCAAATGCTTAAGAATTCCCGTCGTCCCATGAATTATAGGGTGTGCCGGTACTAAGAGTTTGCAATGCTTGCATTCGGCCATGAAAGATTTCTCCCCATTATTATCGGTGATCGTTACCCTCTTAGCATCATTCCACGCCGGACTTGGACCCTTTCTCCTATTGCCCTTTTTCCGAGGAGGACTCTCCCATTGTCTCACTACTTCTTCTTCTTCTACTTCCTCTTCCCCCTCTTCCCCCTCTTCTTCTATTTGTTCTAATGCAATATCCTCCTCCATATCCGGATCATCATCCCAACAATCTTCATAATAATCATTATGCAAATAATCTTGAGGTGAGGGAGTGCCTAGTTGAAGGGTACCACTAGGTTGGGTTTGTTTTCGTTTTCCTAATACCGAGACCATAGGTGTACTAGATTGGCTACTAGACCCGTCCATCCTAAGTCCTAACAAATAAAATAACAATGCACATTAATATATCACAACCACAGTTCAGCATATATCCAAATTCCAATCAATAAATAAAATAAATGGTTCAAAAATCTGAGCATTCAACATAGAAAATTGACATAGTTAATCTAAAACTATACTTAATTAATTTCCCCACATTTCCTCAGTCATGTAATTTTCTCTAGATGAAAATATATAAATTTTACGTTCATTTACTTAAAAACATCAATTGCCGAAAGAATTCCCCTGTATATAAAAAGAAAAATGGAAAAAATAAAAAAAAGGACACATTTGTCGAAAATAATAGGAGGAAAATATATTGGTTCAGTTACACAGCATCAAAACACTTACTAAGACAATTGGAGGAGCTATCACCACAAGTAAATAATATTAAATGCAAGAAACAAGAAACAAAAAAGAATGTAAGAACTTACGTCAAATGAGATGGGATTAAAGACAATTGGAGGAGCTGCCACACGAAAATACAAAATCCAATGTGGAGCTGCCACACGAAAACTTATTAAAATCAGATAGGTAAGTCAAGCATAATAAGTCAAATAGATACAGTATCAGTACATACCATATAGAACATGAAAAACCAACCAAACTTCTGGGCACTATCTGTCCTGCAAGTTGGAAAAAATACACCTCAACACAGTCAGCAGTGCATGATATTACCGGGTTCAGTTTAACAAATAAAAACAACACATTACATTTCCATCCACATAGATAACAGTGACATCATACAACTGATTATCTACCTATTTGTACAACAAATGAGATGGGACAAGGTCCCATAGATCATAAACTTCTTCATAAACTATAAAGATGCATAAATGCAGCAGTATATTTTTGAAAATAATTTGTGTTTGCTTTTCCTTATAAAAGAACATTTTTTGCATCTAAAACTTGTATTTGTTTTTCATTTTTTAGATCTTTTTTGTGGCGTTTGATGAGTAAAAGCTTTTAGGTTGATTATTAATGTGTGCATACCTATTGCAGTTGACTGAGAGTTGCAAAGTGGTTCCTTCAAGTACTTGCCTAGTTGCAGAAGCGTGAGAGCTGATTTATGTGAAGAACCTTGTGACGAGTCTGAGGTCGACGCTGCTGCACAGATTAAATCTATTTCAGATTCAGAAATGTATAAGTTATTAACTCCAAATGTATAATTGATCCAAAAGAATATAAACTCCAAATGGATAGATTCATCATCCATGTAAAAAGTTACAACAGACAATCCACAAATTGACACAAGGTAAAAGTTACAATAACAACAAATAACCCACAAAAGTTGTGGAAACGGTCTTACTATTTATGTTTGACCCCATTATGATATCAATGAAATATACCTTCCACTCGTGCTGGTATTTGGAGATTAAAAAGCACAAGAATTTTTGTTTATTAGTGATTGGTAATCAAGTGAACCACTTATTAGTCACTGAAACAAGGTATACCATGCACAGTAGAAACAGAAACAAGACCACAGGCTGGACAAGTGATGTACCACAAGAAATATAGTAGTTCGTAGATATAAGTTGATCCAAAGAAATGTAATCTCCAAAGGACGGATTCATCATCCCATACAAACAATAAATACAAGAATATTTATACGAACAGTCTTGTTTCGTAATTATTCTACTCTGACAACAAGCCAAAAGCCCTCAAACGGTCAAACCATAATTTATCTGCTACCCTAGGCTCTCTAATTATTCCTTTCAAAATCTAACATCTTAGTAGAAAGCACCTTATGTCTAAAACTTTTACGGATTTTCCCCTTGGTATAATCTGGATTTTTCAGTTTTTTAGTTTTCAGGTTGGACTGGTTGGTCTCTGCACTCTGTGGGGATTTCTAGGTTGTAGTTATATCTGCTGTTTTTTACCTTTGTTTGTCTCACTTCGTAGTTGTTTTGGCGGACCTCTAGTCAATCGTGTCCCCTCCAGTAATGCTTATCATTTTCTTTGATAAATTATATTTCCTATAAAACATGGAAAAACAAAAACTGGCATAAAAAAGCGCCTTAAAAATCTTAAAAATCGGGAAGTCACTGGAAAACTTTGAAGGGTCAGTAAAACTAGAGAGAGAGTGAAACTCAGACTCAGTGCTAACGGCATAAATTAATTACCTAATTTGGGTGAGAGTGAAACTCAGACTCAGTGCTAGATTGAGAGTTCTGTCTGTGAGGGAAAATTGCCCGAGAGAGAGAGAGATCGCAACTCGCAAGTGTCGCCGTGTCGGAGACGATTCGTGAAGGAATCGTGAAGGAAGGCTGGAGAGTTCTGTCCGGCGATTCGTGTCGGAGACGATTCGTGAAGGAATCGTGAAGGAATCGTGTCGGAGACGATTCGTGAAGGATGCTTTGGCGTGGCGCCGGTGGCTGGGTGTTGATTTGTGAAGCTGGGTGGTGGTGATTCACTGATTTCTGGTGAAGGAAAGCTGGTGGCTCATGGCTGCGTTTCAAGTTTCAACTTCAAGCTACGGAAGAAATGGGATCTAACCTAAAAACAAATGAACGGCACAGATTAAATCTAAAACAATGAACGGTTGAAATAATTTTCTTATAATTAAAAAATAATATATTTATATATATAATATTTATTTCTATTCGGTATGGGAATACCGAAAAAATGGAGATGTAATACCGAATCCCATACCGAAAATTTCGGTTTGGTTCGGGATGACCTACCGAAATTTTCGGGAATTTTGGTTTGGGATTTTTTTGGTTTGGGATCGGGATTTTTTTGGTTTGGTTTGGGATTTTTGGGATTTTTTTCCAGCCCTACCTCCAACACCACCACTCAACCTCTAGCGGCGCGTCTAATCCATTCCAAAAGCAGAAGCTGGAGTTGATGTCACCGGATAACAAACAAGGGACATGTTCCATCCCGAAAATGAAATACATACCAATAAATGACAACAGATAAACAAAATAGACAAACATTTACAGGCACCTCAACTTTTGAAGGGTCTAATAGAAAATACAGTACAGAAGAAGGTTTTCTAGTTGGTGTACGGACGAGCGAATAGAAAAGGTGTCCTTAGAATCCAATATAGACCATCAATACACGAATCAGGCTAATTTCTAAATGCGACCATCCCACAAGCACTCAGAGCAAACTTTGCCACCCTTCAAAAGATTCTCCACTTCTTTAGGAGGGTTCATTCCTAGACTGCAAGCCCGCTCCAACCGTGCAAGTCTGGTCATCCCAAGGCACGGTCCATATGCCATGTTCATATCAAATTGCCTCAATAGCTCTTCTTGCTCGTCATAATCGACTATCAGTCAGGACAAAAAAAATTACATTTAACCCATCAAAATATATAGAAAAAGCGCCATAGAAGAATCTATCATTACTCAAAACAGATATGGTTTAGGAGTGTATTATATTGTGTTTTCCTTAGCCCTTGATTCCATAGTAGTAAAATTTAAGAATACACAGGAAAACAGATTATTGTTAAACAATGATACATTAGGGTCTAGGGTATGTATTAGTTCAAGACAATGAATTAAAAATTGAACTCCTATGTTCCCATAAGAAACAATGAGGACTCCAATATCTGAGGCTACTTTGAAGTTTCAAAACTCCAAGGGTTAAAAGTTAAGGGAAGTTGGATCCTAATACAAAAATTTAGGATGCCTTTGGATATGGATCTTTGTCCAGTTCCCTTTAAATTTTTAGCTACGTAAGGTTCATTATCTACTAGTGCCTATCTATGCCCCCTTGAGTTAAATAATGGAAACAAGTCCAAACTCTCAAGTTTTACACATTCTTTGCTCTATTTTGAATGTTTAAACACCTTAAATCTACCCAATAAAAAAAAAAAAAGGATAAAAGTGTGCAGGTATCAAATCAAATATGTTATCGCCACATTTGGTACCTAGAAATCAATGCAGTTGAAAGAGTAATGGAACCTAGTCATTAAGGAAAGTTATCCCTTCCAATCACCAACTCATCTAATTTTCTTCAAATCCCTTCATAATTTCAACATGAACAACCACAACAACAGTTGATCCGAGTTTGAATCTGAGGACAAAAACAACAATGTACTGGAATTTCATGCAACTACAAAAATCTCGTTACAATGGAAATTAGGGGTTACTACAAATATCTCGTTACAATGGAAATTAGGGTTTCAAAACTACTGTAAACACAGAACACGTAAATTAAAACAACACAAGTATTACTTTTTGGATCTATAAATTTTAATGAAAATCCAAGTCCACTAAATTTTTTCAATGCAAAAAGGGTTGGGACGCCCAACAACGGAAGATTAGAAGGAATTTGGCAACGGAGTGGATACAATACATCGCAAGGAAATGAGCAGTGAAAACCAAAACAAGTATTCACAAAACAAGAGTAATCTACGAAAAATTAAAAGCAAGAGGAGAGACGGACCTTTGAGGTCTGGAGAGCCGTGTGAAATTACATCTGAGCCGAAAGAGACAGCAGTAGCTTTTGGGTGAGCGGCCGATTGGGATTTTTTCGTCTTAGAGGTACCACCAATGCTACTGCTTTTCCTTTGCCTGTAGAAACGCTTCATATTCTCTGCTTTTGGATTTGATTTTGAAGCCATCCCTAACCCCACTCTATCTCTCCTCTCTCTCTCTCTCTCTCTCTCTCTCTCTGAACTTTTGAATTTTGAATTCCTTTCTTCTTAGAAAAAATAAATAGACGCCCAGTACGTATTTATTGGAAATTTCTTTTTCCTTAAGAGGTCCTCTCAGAACTAAATATTTTGTTTCTAGCCCCAATATATTTACATTTTTATTTTCCATCCCAAATAATGTAATGGGTTTTTTAGCCAATCCCTGAGATTTGCATAACACATCATTTTAGTCCCTAAGATTGAAAATCAATAAAAATTGTCCTTGAAATTGTCAACTATCCATTATTTTGGTCATTCCGTTAAAAACTCTGTTGAGCTATTGGCCGAAAGTTTGGGCAATTTTCAAAGCTTCGTAACTCAATCGTTTCTTAACCAAATTCAACCCATAATATATCAAAATAAAGATAGGAAAGTGCAGAACAAGATTATACCATTTGAAAGCCCAATGGTTGCCGGAAAAGACCGGAAAATAGCCTGAAAGGTGACCGGTCCGCGGGAAAATTGGAAAACTCGCCAGAAACTGGGTAAACTTTAAACGTTCATAACTTCTTCAATACTCTACGAAATCGAGTGATTCAAAAACGAAAATCATACTTCTCAATGAGACGAAGAGAATTATACCTTTATCGATGGCTAATGCGCCGTGTTTTGGCTGAAAAACGGCTCGAAAGTGGCTGTCTTGGTCATTGAGTTAGCCACTTTCGAGCTGTTTTTCAGCCAAACCATGGAGATTTAGCCATCTATAAGGGTACCATTCTCTTTTTCTCGTTGAGAAGTATAATTTTTGTTTTTGAATCACTCGATTTCGTTGAGTATTGAAGAAGTTACGAAGCTTTGAAAATTGTTCAAACTTTCAGGCCAAGAACTCCAGAACACTTAACGGAATTTTTAACGGAATAACCAAAATAATGGATGGTGGACAATCTCAGGGACCACTTCCATTGTTTTTCAATCTTAAGGACCAAAGTGATGTGTTATGCAAATCTCATGGATCATTTTGGATAAAAAGCCAACGTAATGTGACTATGTGAGAGCCAAAGGTAAGCTTTTATTTTTGTGTGTCCAATAATTGAATAAAACTCATCTACTGTTTTGTCATAGAAAGAATCCATAGTAGTTTAGGTAAGTGTGATGTTTGAACTGTTGTTATAGAGGTTTTCTACTCCTCTTTGACACTGAACTACTATCAGCACAAGTTAAGCTCTTTTATTATGAATATTGAGTTTGACAACAAATTATTGATCGCTCATTGTGCAGCTTCGGGGTATAGGGTTACAAAATTTCCCAATTTTAAATTCATTCATGTGTGAGTGTGATGCATAACTCACCTACCACTTTCAAAGAGCAAAATCAAAGACCCGGTAACTAGACCCAACCTAGCCTTTGGCTCGAATATCTCTAACTATAAGGTCATCTCCAATGGATCAGGACATAAGGCTATGGGTTGTGTGGTTAGCCTGAAATGAGACAAAAGCTATCTCCAATGGAAGTTTGGGTCAAAAGAAAATGAGACCCACCAAGCCAAACTCTAGCCCTTTTGGCAATCGAGTTGGACAAGTTAAGCCAACCAGCCAGCTTGTTTTAGGGGCCCAACCTACAGCAGCCAACGGCTACATGACGTCAGCTAATTTTTTTTTCTAAATTTAAAAAAAAAAAAAAATTATTTTATTCTATAAATACCTAAGTCATTTCTACAGGATTTCTCACATCATTTTCACCCTTCCATACTATCTTACCTCATTTTATTTCAAACTTCACATTTTATTCACCTCAAACACTCTTTTCAGACACACCCCTCTCTTACCTTTTTCCAATAATCTGAATTTAAACTTTTCAATATTTTTCAAATGGCCTCATCTTCAACCAAAGGAAAGGCTTGGACCCGAAAAGAAGATGAAGGTCTTTGCAAGGCTAATGGATAGGTTTTGGAAGATAGTATCAAGCGTATTTATCAAACAAGTGAAGGCATTTGGACTCGTACATCCAAAAAGTACTATGAATTCTATGAAGGCACCACTCCACGGAACCCTAGAAACCAAGAGAGTTGTTCTTACGATGGAAAAAACAACTTCATCCAAGATTGAACAAATAGCATCAAGCCTTGGTAAGGGCCAAAAGGAGACATGTTAGTGGAGCCAATCTATATGATGAAGTTGACACACCTCAACCCCAATTACACAAGTTATGAGGTCGTGATGTGCTGGCCAATACTAAATTGATTGTATGACCCCATCCGAAGATGACGTCACAAACCAACTTAATGATGAAACCATATTAAGATAAATATGATGTGTAAGAATTTGAACCAAAAGATGTTCATTGAAATAATAAATCCAAAGCTGCTATATAAGTACTTATCATCCTCCCACTTGGGGACACAAATTATCTCGGGTTTGACTGATGGGTGTATATTTTCATATATTTCTTTTGGATTTTGTATATATGAATGGGTTAAATGCACTAAATTAATTGTTTTATTTTATAGGCATTCAATACAAGAGTCATACAAAAAAGGAGTGGAAAACAAGCTTTTCGGGTGTCTAGAGTAATTCCAGTGGAGCAAGAGGCTAATTAACTACACCAAGACAAATGCATGAAACTACAACGGTTTTGGAGATCAAATGGACATGGGAATGTTATTCATTGGAGTATAAGAGAGAACTTAATTATCAGTTTTTATTATTTCAGTTATTTTTCATTTTCTGTAATAAGGACTTGAAAGTCCATTAGAGCTATGATTAGTGGTCATTTATTTGGCATTTTCTATTAACCTTTCCAATTCTTGCCACGAGGTTATAATAAGGAAATTTTATTTGGACTTAGTTATTTTATCTCTACACCCAACTAAAAAGTTTTATCCACTAAACTTCCAAGTTTAACCTTAAATAGATAAATAAATAAGAAAATAACAATCGATGTTTCTACCCAATGACCCAAAACCTAGCACACCACTCCACCCCTCCATTATTTCCGGTGAAACAAACTACTATCCCATTGGCATTCTCCTCGGACCTGAGAACCACTTCTTGCAATGTCTCCTTCAAAACATCAGTCAATAGGGACCCAACAAACAGACCAAATGGTATCACCAATTCATAGTTTCTAAAGATAGAAAATATGATGTCCGATAAGAAGCTGAGGGTGCCCAAAGTAACATATGACCATATGAATGTTTCTTTTATTTCAAGTAGTAACAGCTGCTCCAGTGTTGTATCTGCTGCTTTTCTCCACGGGAGCTCCTGCACTGGGGGAGGTACGGCTTCCCACAGCTTCTCTTTTACAGAAGTTCTTTTGATTTGCAGCTTCTGCTTATTTTCTTTGTTGGGCTCTCCAAATTGTGTCGTGGATGAAACTGCTTTTACACGACTTGGATTTATGATATATAAATGCATATGGTCTTAATAATTTACTCCTAAAAATTTCAACAAATAATCCCAATTGAAAATTTTGGAGCCCATGGTTGTTAATGATCTTGCTTTCACTTGGGTGGGTTTCACCGGAAATAATAATGGAAGAGTGCAGTAGTGTCCTAGGTTTTGAGTTATCATGGGTATAGAGATAAAAAACACCGATGTTTTTTTTTATTATTATTATTCTTATTTATTTAAGGGCACACTTGAAAGTTTATTAGAGAAAATATTTAGTTGGGTGTAGAGATAAGACAAATGGGTCCAAATAAAATTTTCCGTTATAATAAAGGGATTTATCTCCTTGTTTTTCAGTTAGGTAGCCACCAAAAAAAAAAACAAAAAAAAAAAACATAATTCATATTTCAAAGGGGGGGCTGCGGCAAGGAAGGGAAAAAGGGGAGAGCTTTTCTAGGTTTTTTTTTTCTTTTTTTTTTTTCCTTTACTAGGGCTATGATGTAGCCTGATCATGAATACTTAATTGCCTTGTGGCATTGTTATTATCAAGTTTTGCATCTTTATTGAGTATCTTTTCCTAATCTTAATGCGCTTGATTTTTATTTAGATGTTTGATCACCATTTAGGTTTTAATTAAGTTGATTTGATGCAATTTAGAGTAGATACCATACTTAACTTGGGTTTAGCTTCTTGCAATTGATACCATAAACACCTCTTTGTAGATGTCATGCAATTAAGGTTTGTGTGATTTTCCAATGATTTCCATAGAGCTTAATGAGTTCTTACTTGTTTAAATTCATCTAGATGCCATAGAGGGTTAACATGTAAGGATACTTTTGATGCAACCAGATGATGTGGCTGTTGAATAATTTAGGGAAAATCGATCATCAATATTAGGGAACTACTTGAGCATAACATATTAAGGGAATTAAGTAGAATTGGTTACAGTTAACTCGGATGCCCTAGGTCTTCTTTTCTTATGTTTTCACTTTATTATTTACATGCATTTTATTTCAATTTAGTTAGTAATATTTTAGAATCAATTTGATCTCTGTGGGACGATATCTGTGCTTATATGCTATACTATCATTTGATTCGTATACTTGCAAACACAAAAATTCAAGACTTAATGAGCCTAATTTCAGTTATCTAATTTTCACAACATTGACCCCGTTATTAATCACATCACATCAAAGCAGCTAGAAGTTTCACACAACAGTAAATACAACAAAGTGCAGTGCTATGCATAGTCAAAAGTATGATCATGCAAATATTATTACAACTAAGATAAAACTGTAGCAAAAGAGTCATCACCCAAAGTCTAGAGGATGAAAGCCTCACTACCAAGCCCACTCTTCCTCACCAATGTTCTCTTTAGTCTCGTTAAGTCCTGAAGGGGTCGATAAAACAAAACGTGAGTGGACCAGTTTTAGCACAGTTATAAAATCATCATTAAACATAATAACCCCTATTTTGAAAACATATATAGTGAAAAACTATATAATATAATACTACTACAATAGTAAAGTCGTATTCATCAATATCAACGAAAAACCATCAAGTCAAGTCCAGAAATCATACCTTCCGTTAATCAATCATGCTAGCATCCACTAACATAAGTATAGCAAGCAGGAAATATACTAGCAACAACTAGTTAATCTCAATACCGGTA